AGTACACCAGCCAAGTGAACCGGTTTAAGTTCACTTGGCTGGTGTTCTGCATGCTTCATGATTTATGTTACAACTTTTGCATATCTTTCTTATTTCCCATTACTCAGCATTTCTTGTATACCACTTGCAAAATGAAATTGGTTCAGACGTATTCTCAGATTTCAATTTTCCATTAGCAGAGACCATCTCAATCCTTAAATTAAGAAGGAAGAAGGGCATGATAATAATACCTACGGTTTAAGTTCACTTGGCTGGTGTTCTGCATGTTTCATGATTTATGTTACAACTTAAAACGTAGGTGTCAACTTACTGGTTCGTTGGTTGTCGACCAAGTTGAGACAAAAGCCCTTGCTGCAAAGTCATAAGTTGCTAAAAAGAAGCAAAAATAAAAAGTCAGAGGATACATATTGATTACGAACCAAAATACACTATAGCATGAAAAAGTACACTTGTCAAGCCCTCGTTCAGATACATCAAAAAGTCTCGTTTCACAGTTGCCCTCCAAACCCACCTCATGGCAAAAATCTTAGCCATATTATTAAGCACAAAGCTCTACAGTGAAATGTCAATTCCCTTTTTAAAGCTCAAGTGATCCCCTTCTAGATAACTCCATGGTGGATAGAACTTTAAAATTTAGAACTTCAACTAATATTTAGCATTTTAAATTTAACTAAAGCTTACCACCTGAAGTTTTGGTAAATATGATAAGCCACATCAAGAAACAAACACACGGTGACGTCCATTAGGTGTATTAATATCTTACACTTGTTATTTACTTACTTATTTTTGGCATTGGGTGTCTTACACTTAGTTTAATTGACAAGCAAGTCAATTTCAACACTGGGATGAAACTATGACTCCCTGTATGTATTGCCTTGAGTGGTTTGATGTCTTAAGAGTATATCACTATGATGAAAAATGCAAATTTCTACATCTGGATGAAAGCATGACTCTTGTGTCCATTATATACAAAATCAGAAGAGCATAAGAGAAAATGCAATATATCAAAGAGAGAGATATTGTTAAGATTCACAAATCTACGCTTTAATTGGTGGAGAAATTAAAATAAGAAGGCAATATTATGAGTTAAATATAATTCTACAGATAAGAGTTCCATGGTATAGCACAAAAATTGTTTCAAATTACTGAAGTTCCCTTTCAAGAATCTGGAAACTATCACCGCTTTATTTGTAACTTTATAGGAAATGAGAGCGGTTAATATGCTGCAAGTTTTGATGAATAAGTATACTTACTTTTGAGATAAGTGAACATCATCACTGCTTAATTTTTATGTTACAGAAAATGGGAGAAATTCAGTAATTTAGAGAGGTATAACAGTGGATCTAGAAATGCCCAATCCAAAGCAAAAAAGTACCAAGTGTAGTATATCGGTTTCTTACACTTCCCCTTTGACACACATAGTTAGCTTATGACTTCTTTTGACCAACAGTCTGAACTAATGATAAAGTGTCATTCCAATTGGACATGTTGATGTACATGCCTTGTCTCATCCACAAATAGGTAATGAGGCTAAATTAGTGAAAAGCACAGTTGTTAGGATTCAATTAGCCAAACACCAAATTCAATACATCCAATGCACCATACACATCAAGCAAGCAAGATAAAAATAGCAACCAGAAATGATTTACCTGCATTGTCTCGGGGGAAGTCATCTGCCGAATAAATTCAGGGTTTTGCATCATTTCTCGAAGATGGGAGTTGGAATCAAGCATATTTCTTAGCTGTGGGTTCGTCCCAAGCATCTGAACACCAATATACTACCGAATGAGAACTTGACAAACAGCTTTCCATAAAAAATAGAAGAAGAGAAATAAAGAAAGGAAATAAAGACATAGATGACTGCAAGCAAGCTTGAAGTCACAATGATACCTGGTTCATGTATTGAGGATTTGAGAGGAGAGACTGCATCATCTGTGAGACGGCTGGGTTTTGCATCATCTGATTTAGTGAAGCAGCATCTGGCATGCCACCCAGCATTCCCTCAAGATCTGGGAGTGCAAGTCCACCTAAGCCAGCAGGCGGTGGTGCCCTGGTTTCCCCAGCAGTGTTTGACCTAGCAGTGGTATTAGTTTGGCCAGCTCCAGCTGCAAAAAGGCAGAGAAAGAAAAATACAATAAAAATTGAACATATATAACAAGAAAACCTTATGAAATACCCTGATGCCTAAATACCACCTGCTGAAAGCACCTAAAAATAACATAGAATTACGCATACAGCATGGGCCATGGAGGATGAAAATTCTTGCAAAACAAGCATGAGAAGCTTATGAGAACCTAACATTTTGTTTTTTAGTGTGCAATGCTACCCCTGGTGTGTAAATTCAAAACAGACATTGCACCAGTCATTCACAACCAATCAAAGCATCCAAGAATAGAAGTCTTGCGGATGCACAAGAGGAGGAGAAGTCACTGCCTATTACAAGTGAAACCCGACTTCAGTCGAACAAAAGGCAAAGGACAGCAGAGACAAAAAACATGGGACGATTTCTTCTCATTTGCCAAAGCCATGGCACAAAGACCTGTTACATGTGTTTGTGGGGGGTTCCAAGTAATAACTAGTGGAATAGTCGAGGTGTGCAACCCGGACACCACCGTTATCCCCAAAAAAAAACAAAGAGGTTAAGTGATTAAGCATGTCTAAAGCAAGCAAATCTCGTACAAAATCAAAGGATATGAAATGATAGTAGCTTACTGCCAGCCGAAGCCCAAGGATTAGGAAGTGGATTAGTATTTGGAGCAGGTGTGTTAGCAGTAGCCTCAGAACCAGTAGTTGGAGGATTAGTTGACTGGTTTCTGCCTTGCCCCGTACCCTGGGCCCCCAAAAGAGCTGCGAACGGGTTTGAACCCACATCACTTCTTGCATCTCCACCCATAGTTGTTGCATTTAGGAGAGGCTCTTGGACATTTTCATACATGCGCCTCAGCATGTTAAATCCCTCGGGGGAAGATTCAATATTGCTCATTGCCCTGTCAGTATTACGCATCATCTCACGCATAAGTTCAGGGTTTCGTGCAGCCTCCATTGTCTGACGAAGAGTAGCAGGATCATTAAGAACGTGGGCAAGCTCTGGATTGCGATCCATGATCTCTCGCATTTGAGGATTGTTCATAATCATGTTACGGATGATTTCTGGGTTATTCATTAAATTCTGAACGAGAGGCATATTCAGCATGTCTCTCATCATATTGGGGTTTTGGGTTAACTGCTGCTGGACCTGCTCGAAATCCGGAAGGCCAGCTCCAAGTAGACCACCACCACTTCCAAGACCAGGAAACAATGAAGCACCAAGGCCCGAACCGGAAAATGGTCCACCTACATTTGGAGCGGCATCAGAGGGTGCATTCTGATTAGCATTTGGATTTCCAGTATTGACTGCACTTGCAGTATTAACAGCGGCAGCTGGTGCAAAACCTCGAACCAAATGGACGGTATGATCTGCCTCAAGACCTATCAACCACATATAAATAAGATAAGCAAAACAAAAAGAATATTAGCGTGACAGCCCGGAACACGTCAAAAACATACTTCACCGTTGTGACAACCCCCTCGGGATTCACATATTCAGGTATTGTCTC